GGGGAGTGGGAATGGTGCTGGGCAGGGAGGCTGGGCTGGTGCAGGGGGCAAGCAACTGGTGGGGCAGGCCTGCTCATCCTCTCAAGTTCTATCTTACTCCTTTAAGATGTTGCTCAAAACCAACATACCCAGGAAACCCTTAGGTCATCTGCCCTGATAACTCCGTGTGTGTGAAATTTTGCTTTGTAAGCTGCAAGGCGCCTTGGGATTTTTTGTTTGCATTAAAGGCATTACTGCATATAAATGAAAGTTGTTACACAGGCAAATACAGTAGCCAATGCAGTAACCAATTTATGCACAATAATATTTCAAAAACAGCAATATTGTACGTAGTGGTTAATCCATTCTGACTTTTTGAAGGATAAATCTTGAGTTGGATTCCGATGTTCTTTAAATAAATCTTAGTTCCGATGTCATCGTCATGAATCTTTTTGCATTTTTAAAAATCAAGACCAGATTTACTTCCAAGTGTGGCCTAGCAAAGTTTCGGAATGAGTTTAATTTGTGTTTTTATTCATTTGTGGGATGTGGGCGTCAATGGCTGGCCAGCGTTTGTTGTCCATCCCTCGTTGCCTTTGAGAAGGTGGTGGTGAGCTGCCTTCTTGACCCTTAGGGAGGGAATTCCAGGATTTTGTCCCAGCGACAGTTAAGGGATGGCGATATATTTCCAAGTCAGGATCATGCGTGGCTTGAAGGGCACTTGAAGGTGGTGGTGGTCCCATATTTTCGCCACCCTTGTCCTTCTAGATGGAAGTTGTTGTGGGTTTGGAAGGTGCTGTCTGAGGATCTTTGGATAATTTCTGCAGTGCATCTTGTAGGTGATACATACTGCTGCTACTGAGCTTCAGTGGTAGAGGGAGTGGATGCTTGTGGATGTAGTGCCAATCAAGAGGGCTGCGTTGTCCTGGATGGTGTCAAGCTTCTTGAGCAGTGTTGGGGCTGCAGTCATCCAGGCAAGTGGAGTATTCCATCACACTCCAGACTTGTGCCTTGTAGATGGTGGATAGGCTTTGAGGAGTCAGGAGGTGAGTTATACACTGTGGTATTCCTAGCTTCTGACCTGCTCTTGTAGCCAATGTCTTTATGTGGTGATTCCAGTTGAGTTTCTGATCAATGATAACCCGCAGGATGTTGATAGTGGGGGATTCAGTGATGGTAACACCATTGAATGTCAAGGTTAGATTGTGTCGTATTGGTGATGGTCATTGCCTGGCATTTGTGTGGCGTGAATGTCACTTGCCACTTGTCAGCCCAAGCCTGGATATTGTCCAGATCTTGTTGCATGTGAACATTGACTGCTTCAGTATCTGCGGAGTCCCGAATGGTGCTGAACATTGTGCAATTATTGGCGAACATCCCCACTTCTGACCTTATGATGCAGGGAAGGTCATTGATGAAGCAGCTGAAGATGGTTTGGCCTAGGACACTACCCTGAGGAGCTCCTGCAGAGATGTCCTGGAGCTGAGATGACTGACCTCCAACTACCACGACTATCTTCCTATGTGCCAGGTATGACTCTAACCACTGGAGATTTTGCCCCCGATATCCATTGATTCCAGTTTTGCTCGGGCATCTCAATGCCATACTCTGTCGAATGCAGCCTTGATGTCAAGGGCTGTCACTCTCACCTCACCTCTGGAATTCAGCTCCTTTGTCCATGTTTGAACCAAGGCTGTAATGAGGTCAGGAGCTGAGTGGCCCTGGCGGAACCCAAACTGGGCATCACTGAGCAGGTTATTGCTGAGCAGGTGCTGCTTGGTAGCACAATTGATGACAACTTCCATCACTTTACTGATGATCGAGAGTAGACTGATGGGATAGTAATTTGCTGGTCGGATTTGTTCTGCTTTTTATGTACAGGACACACTCGGGCAATTTTCCACATTGTTGGGTCGATACCAGTGTTGTAACTGTACAGGAACAGCTTGGCTAGGGGAGCGGCAAGTTCTGGAGCACAAGTCATCAGTACTATTGCTGGAATGTTGTCAAGGCCCATAGCCTTTGCAGTATCCAGTGTCTCCAACCATTTCTTGATATCACATGGAGTGAATCAAATTGGCTGAAGACCGGTATCTGTAATACTGGGAATCACAGGAAGAGGCCGAGACTGATCAGCCACTCAACACTTCTGGTTGAAGTTGCTGCAAAAACTTCAGCCTTATCTTAGCACTGTGTGCTGGGCTCTTCCATCATTGAGGACGGGGATATTTGAGGAGCCTCCTCCTCCAGTGAATTGTTTAACTGTCCACCACCATTCACGCCTGGACATAGCAGGACTGCAGAGCTTAGATCTGATCCGTTGGTTGTGGCATTGCTTAGCTCTGTCTATCACTTGCTGCTTATGCTGTTTGGTATGCAAGTAGTGGCTTCACTAGTTTGACACCTCATCTTCAGGTTTGCCTGGTGCTGTTCCTGACATGCTCTCCTGCACTCTCCATTGACCCAGGGTTGATCCCCTGGCTTGATGGTAATGTTTGAGTGGGGGATATGCCAGGCCATGAGGCTACAGATTGTGGTGGAGTACAATTCTGCTGCTCCTGATGCCCACAGTACCTCATGGATGCCCAGTCTGGAGTTGCTAGATCTGTGCAAAGTCAGTCCCATTTAGCACAGTGATTGTGCCTCACAACACAATGGAAGTTATTCCCAATGTGAAGGCAGGACTTCGTCTCCACAAGGACTGTGCGGTGTTCACTCTTACCGATACTGTCATGGCCAGATGCAACTGCAGCTGGCAGATTG